CGCAGCCGCCACAGCTCGATCTGCCATGCCTACCCAGCCCACATGCAGCCCAGAAAGGCAGTGCAAGAGGAGCGCCACCCGCCAAGCCAGGCAGGAGCAAGTGGCGCACGAGCGCATCGATGGGAAGGCAAACACCCAGACTGTGTTCACAGTCCCTTTCCCAGACTCCAACTCCCACACTCCCCAGCCTTGAACATATGACCCTCAGGGGAGGGGAGGATGTCTCATTCGGTTTTGCAAGGCACCACTTTCCTCCTCCCTGTGCCAGAGCCTTGTTTGGGCATCCAGCGAGGTTGCCTCTGAACCTGTGCAGAGTGCGAGTAGCCAGGGGATTCTGCAGCTGGGCTGGGGTGGGTTCGGGTACAATTGGCTGTATAAATAATTTTTTTTAATATTTGGGGGGGGGGGGAAGCCTGCATTCTCCTTTCTCTCTCTCCTCTGTCTCACCCCAGTCGGGGGTTTCCTATACAGCTGCCCCCTCCACTCCTGCTCAGCCACCTCTAGCGTTCCCCAGTCACCCATCCCCAGGTCCTCCTTTACACTTTCTACTCGCCCTTCCTCTAGCTCGTCCTTTTCTCTTCTTTCTCCTCGAACCAACAGCTCTCTTCCTCCTCCAACTTCTCAACCGCTCCCTTCTCTTCCTCCGTCCCTCTTTCATTTCCCTCCCTTCCTGCCCAAACGTCTCCCTCTCGGGCGGGTCTGTTCCTAGGCTTTTTTGGATCAAACTGTCTGAGTCCCCCCAAAGTGTCTTCCAAAGTCCCTATAGGTTGTATGATGTCCCCCTTTGGCAGGAAAGGATGGCACACCTCCTGCAGCTACAGGCTTTTCACCTTCAACCTTACAATACCATAAGGCAGGAGCTGGGGGCTCTGCTACAGGTCAGCAGACTGGACCTACGCAGTGGAAACTTAAATTTCTTCACTTCAGAGGGGCGACGGAGATCAAATGGTCAAGAAATTTCCTACAATTCACCCAAAAAAGATTTTTAAAATTTTTATTCTTGATGGATGAATGTTAAGAAGCCAGCCATTGGAACAGCACCCTGCAAAGACAGGAATTACTGTTTTCTCCCTTGTCCTTGCAAGGACAGACGTATTATGATCCACTAGCCTTTAACACCTCCAGTGGCATCTTGGTGGCTCTTCGGTGCCATGCCAAGCTCAGCTCCTCCAGTGATCCAAAGGTCAGCCCCGGTACAAAAGGTGGCCTCACAAGCCAGGAACAAGACAGCCTGTGCAATCTCTTCTGGGGTCCCCATCCGTCCCAGAGGCTACGAATGCAATGAAAAAGGGAGAGAAAGAATGGAGGACTCAATCTGCATCACACACACCACTTTGATGTACTCGATTTCTCCCAAGAGCCCTAGTTTTTAATTAAAAGAAGAAAGGGCCAATCTTCAAACAGAGGTAGCCGCTGAAGGAGAATAAGTGGGGCCTCCAGGTATTTTGGACTACAATCCCCAGAATCTACTATCACTGACCAGGATGACTGAGGCTTCTGGGAGTGGAAGACAAAATATCTTTAGAACCAAAGCCTATCTACATTTTAATTAAAGTTTAATTTCAAGAGCAGGTTTCTAACCCTTAAACTTCTGAGATCCCAGAACCTAGGAGGACAGGCTAGTAAATGTTTCCAAGAGTTAGGGAGGCTTCAAGTGCGTTACACAAAATACTTTCATTTTCTCCATGAGTAAACATGAGAGTATATGTAAAAATGAATGGTATACACAAATCAGATTAGATGTACAGCCTATATAGAGATTATAGAATCTAATAGACTTTTGATGCAGATCATGGCAGGGTTTACGGGGGTGGTGTAAATGCCGACCTTCTTATCCAACAGTGCCATATCCATTGTGTCAAAACACTTACCTGCTCATTAATGCCTTGCTGGATCGTTGCCTCTGGATCAGCTGTCCCATTTGCCAAACTCTGCCACATAGGAGTCCAGATATTACCAGCTGAGATACTGTAATACAAATTATTGGGATTTTTAATAGAAGGGGGGCATCAGGAAAGAGCAAGCAGATCTATTTGCCCGTGGCAAAAGTTTTTCAAAATGAATGAGTTTTGTTGAGGTTTTTATTTTATTGTATTCTGGAGTCCTAAAATGTCAGCTGACCCCAGAGATGTAGTCTATGAGGAAGGTACTACACATAGTATTAGTAGCATCAGCAACATTACCAGTTGACTCGAACTCCGCATTTGCTCTCATCGAGGGCCATCGCTTTTGTCATGGCAGTTACACCACCCTGCAAGGTATAGGAAGTGTGGGTGAGGGAAACTAAAAGGCCATTTACATAACAACACTTGGCTCCCCTTTTGCTTTGGGGATATACTGACACCAGTATTGCTGGGGACCATAGTTTAAAAAGATGACTCTTCCCACCTGTATTATGTGGTACCGAAAATCACTGGGACAGTCATTTCACAGAAAACAACACTTCCATTTCCCTTCTAATCAGTAGCACAGAAGCAGAGCTCAATTTTACTTTTTTAAAAAAATGACCACCCTATCAACACAGTCATTGTTTTTTCAGCCTTTCCCCCCTATTTTGACAACCTTTGCCATTGGGCTCCCTTGACTAGGAGAATGGTGAGGTATAAATAAAATGAATAAATGAATGAATGAATGAATGAATGAATGAATGAATGAATGAATGAATTAGATATAAGGACCTAGACAGCAACCACCCAACTAACGTCACTCACAAGATGTTATCTCAACCTTCAAGTGTGTCACAAATAATTTTTAAAATCGCTAATAGATGGAGGTGTCTCTACCGTATGTCATTTGGCAATTAATTGACTGATCTGGGCTGTAGAACTTAAAACACACAAAAGCATTATGTATGGAAAAGAAGTATTTATAAGACTTTTAAGACTGACCAGGGGGCTAAAGGCTTATTTCTTTGGTCCTTAAGTGTAACTCAGTATACAAAAATCACCTAATGAACTTTCATGGTATTAAAAAAACATCATTAGTTGTTATTAAAGGAACAGGAGCAGAAGGTTCTAAAAATGTTGGCAACTGCATTTTTAAAATAAGAGAAGAGAATAGAAAGACCCCTGATACTTCATTTCAGTGCCCTTGATTACCTTGGATGTGACGTATGCGACAGCATTCCTATATCCAATATGAGCAATAAGGCTGGAGATGTTGACGATGTTCCCTTTCGTCTTCCGGAGATGAGGCAGTGCATACTGTTAGCAGAGAGTTGAGGAGGAAAGGTGATCAAGCGATATTGCGCCAGTGTATTGAGAACCTGTGACCTAGAGACACTACACCAATGTAGGAAGCTAACCTGTATCTCACTGGACTGCTGTCCCATTTAGCCAGTCAATGGGGCCGGTCCTACCCTTAGGCAGGCAGTTGCAGCTGTCTCCAGTAAGTGCTTTAGTGGTGTCACAAAAGGAGAACAGAGTGTTAGTTCTTAAAATGGGACAGCTACATTTCTGTTGCTTTTACTGTGTTTTTATTATTTATCTACTAGCTTTTAATATTATACTTATTTAATTCTTTTGAAATATTATAATTATTTATTGATCTCAGCTTCCAATACTGTTTATTTTTTAACACTTTCAGCCACTTTGTGTGGCTTACAGAGAAAGGCACGGTACAAATATTTGAAACAAACACATGAATAAAAGCAGTTATTTACTTGTTTATTCCTATATTCCTCTTATAAGGGAAGGGATATAAGGCAGGTGCTTGTGGGAATTTCTTCTGAAACAATTGGGCCTGCCACTCTACACCTTGGTGAGTCGAGGCACCATTTGCTTCTTTGCCTCAATCAGCAAAATATCTTTGCTCAATATTTCTTCTCTAAAATGGCAGTGTTTCAGCAAGGCCTTTTCGAATCCTTGCTCCTTATTAATCCTAGATAAATAAAGTCAACACATCAATCCTGGGATTAAGTTTTTCCTCATATTTAGCTGAAATCTAGCTCCCTGTAACCTGAGCCCATTATTATGAGTCCTGCTGTCTGGAATAACTTTGAACAGATCCTGCCCCTCCTCTGTATGACAATCTTTAAAGTATTTAACCAGTCAATTTGGCCAGTCCTCGCCACTTTAGGGGTTTCAGAAAAAGATAGCAGAGTGTTCATTATTAAAATGGGACAGTTGCATTCCCATTGATTTTACTGTGTTTTTAGTACTGTTTTTATCTACTAGCTTTTAATATTATATTTTTAAAATTATTTTAAAATATTATAATGATTTCTTGTTCTCAAATTTCAATACTGTTTCTATTTTAACACTGTAAAACACCTTGTATTCTTTTAAGGAGAAATGTAGGGTACAAATATTTGAAACAAACAAATAAACAAAAAATTTAAATAGCAAGCGCTTTCCATCCTGAATTTATTTATTCCATTTTATTTATTTAAAATATTTTATGCTGTGTTTCTCCCCAAAAGGAGCCGAGGCAGCTTACATCACTGTACTGTAGGCATCCTTCAGTCTAGGGAGACTATGGTAACGTGCTCTGAATAGAGGTCTTGGAACAGCGTCTCTAGTGTGGCTGAGAAGGCCAATTCGAGAGTGACAATCCCTTCCACACTGAGGACAAATACAATTTGTCCCCTGTCCAGCTCCCTGGTTTTGCTGCTTTTGTGACTTCCTCTTTGCCTCGGCCTGCTGGGCAAGGGTATCTTCGAATTGGGAGATGCCGTGATGCACCACCTGCCTCCAGGCTGAATGCTCAGATGTCAACGTTTCCCATCTGTTTGGGAAACTTAGTCCATTCCCTTAGTCCATTCTTAAGGCCTTCAGATCCTGCTTGCAAATATCCTTGTATCGCAGCTGTGGTCTCCCTCTGGAGCACGTTCCCTTCCTTGCACTAATTCTCCATACAGGAGCTTACATCACTAAAACAATATTTAGAAGCTAAAACACTAAGGACACCAATATTTAAAAAGATTTAAACAAGTAGTATATTAAAACGGTAACAAAGATCAATATTAAAACACATTTTAAACAACAGAGCATAACTATCCATTTTCATCCTGAATATGAGGACATTTGTGAATTTTCACAGACTCTTACCAAAACCAAATTGAAACTAAAAGCGTCACTGCTGGGATTTCTCCTGGGTGTTTTCTCTTGTTCTCTTCCACCTAGTCTCCAAGGCTAGAAATAAGCCTGGCTGAAAGACAAATGGCCCTGGAAGCAAGGATGGGGTGAAGAGAGG